GGGGGGGGAGTGGGGATGGATGTAGGGATGAGAAAAGGGGAGAATAGGGGTGGAGATAGGGATAGAGGGGGAGTAGGGATGGGAACAGGGATGGAGATGAGGGAAACGGAGGGGAAATAGGGATGGAAATGGGGGTTGATGTTGGGGGGAATGGGGATAGGCATGGGAGGGGAATGGGAACGGAGATCAGGGATGGGAGAATAGGGATGGAAACGTGTGGGGTGTGGGGCTGGGGAGGGAGGAGAATAGGGACGGAGACGGGGATGGATAGAGGGGGGAGTAGGGATGGGTGTGGGGCAGAACGGGGATGGAGAGGACAGATGGAGGGGGAGAAGAGGCGTGGAGGATGGGGAGGAGGAGGGATGGAAAAGGGGGGGGATGGAAACGGGAAGGACCGTGCCTGCAGGTGAGGACGACGACTACACCATCTGGCTGGCGCACTCCAGCGACCCCCGCGACCCCACGGACGGCTGCATCCTGGGCTACAAGGAGGAATTCCGGCGCCTACGCAAATCCTCCGTCTGTCAGAACGGCCGCGATTACGCCGTCAGCGCGCAGCCCTCCGTCTGCCCCTGCACCCTGCACGACTTCCTCTGGTACCGCAGCCCCGCTCCCCTCAGCGCACCGCCACCCCCTGGTGCCGTCGTGTCCCTGCGCCGCCACCCCAGTGCCACCACGTCCCCGCACACCTGATCCCACGGTGCCACCGTGTTCCTGTGCGTCACCCCACGGCCGCCCCACGGCCACCCCATCCCTCCCCGCCTCATCCCAGTGCTGTCGTGTCCCTGCATGTGATCCCTGTGCCACCCCGGTGCCACCCCATCCCTGCACACCTCACCCCAGTGCCATCCCAGTGCCATCATGTCATCGTACCTGATCCCACTGCCACCTCAGTGCTGCCATGCCTGTTCCCCCCCCATCCCAGTGCCACCATGTCCCTGTGCATCATCCCAGTGCCGTCCCAGTGCTATCCCCACCTCATCCCAGTGCTGTCATGTCCCTGCCCCCCTTATCCCGGTGTCACCGCCCTGCTGCCACATCCCTGTGCATCATCCCAGTGCCACCTCATCCCTCCCCACCTCACCCCAGTGCTGCCGTGTCCCTGCATGTGATCCCAGTGCCACCCCGGTGCCACCCCATCCCTCCCCACCTCACCCCAGTGCCATCCCAGTGCCATCATGTCATCGTACCTGATCCCACCGCCACCTCAGTGCTGCCATGCCTGTTCCCCCTCCATCCCAGTGCCATCCCAGTGCCACAATGTCCCTGTGCATCGTCCCAGTGCCACCCCATCCCTGCCCACCTCACCCCAGTGCCATTGTGTCCCACCTCCATCCCAGTGCCGTGTCCCTGCACGTGATCCCAGTGCCATCATGTCCCTGTACCTCATCCCAGTTCCACCCCAGTGCTGCCACATCCCCGCCCACTTGATCCCCACTCTTGCTGGGGTCTCAGCACGGGGGGCTGAAGCTTCTCCCCCCCCGCAGCGATTTCGGCTATTACCGCCCTGAGAACCAGTCTGTGTGCGTGGAGCAGCCCGAGCTGAAGGGCCACGACTTGGAGTTCTGCCTCTACGGCCGCCGCGAGCTGCTGCGCACCAGCGGGTACATCCCCAATGCTGCACCTCCCATGGGGCACCACTGGGAGGGGGGGGGGTCAGGGAGGGGTCCTGGGGCTCACAGAGCATCTCCTCCTCCCCCCCCGTTTTGTTTTAGGTACCGCAAGATTCCCGGGGACAAATGCAGGGGAGGGGAGAACCCCAGCAGGGAGGAGACGGACATGAAGAAGAAATGCACCAGCACTCTGCTGAGCCCCGGGCAGCTGGTGGGTGTCCATCCATCCCCCCCCCAGACCCCGAGGTGGGTTTGGGGTGCTCTGACCCCATGGGTGACCACGTGCTGTCCCCACAGGCGGCGTCCCCCAGCCCCACACCTATCGTGCTGGCCGTGGTGGCCGTGCTGCTCGTTAGTGCCGTGGCTGCAGTGCTGCTCGTCAAGAAATACGTCTGCGGTGGGAGGTGGGTCCCAGCTGGGAGCTTTGTCCCTTTGGGGTCCCTGTGACTCTGTGGGTTCCTGGTGGGTTTGTGGGACCCCCATGGTTGGAGGGTCCTCATGGAACCTCTCAATGGGTTTGGGGTCCCCATGGCTTTAGGGGGTCCCCGTGGTCCCTATGACTGGGAGGGCCTTGTGGTACCCATGGGATCTTCCCATGGCAGAGGGGTCTGTATGACTTGGGGACACCCCACAGCTTTGTGGTCCCTATAGCTTTGTGGGGTTCCTCTGGCTCTATGTGATTCCCATGGCACCAGGGTCCCTATGGCTGGGGATTTCTGTGTTCCCCACGGGGTCTCTGTGACTTTTTGGGTGCCCATGGCTTTGGGTTCCCCATGGCTTTTTTGGGGGTTCCTCTGACTCGGAGATCTTCACAACGTTATGGAGTCCCCATGGGTTCCCTGTGGCTTTGTGGAGTCCCTGTGACCAGGAGGGACCCTCGTGGTTCTGTGGGGTCTCCGTAGCTTTATGGGGTCCCTGTGGTTCCCCACAGCTTTGAGATTCCCATGGCCTTATGGAGTCCTCATGGCTTCGGTGTCCCCATGGGCTGCCTGG